AGTGAATAGCAAGAAAAGGGGAACTAGAAAAAAAGAGTGTGCAGTGGCTTGGGTAGTTGTGCCCATACTGCCCAGAACCTTGCCAGACTCCAAAAGGTCTCATAAATGCTGAGGGGTGGGAATCAGTTTCTGCTTAAAAATATTAAAATTAGAGGAACAATCCCACATTTCTAATGTAATTTGTTGTTTGTGTTGTTGTGTGTTTTTTTTTTCTGTAGGCACAAAACAGATTTAAAGTTCCTTTGGGTACAAAATTCTACAGAGTGAAAGCAGTACCATGGAACAAGAAAGTATAACACAACCGAATTTTAGTTCATTCTGTCTCCATTCTTTTTTGACTTGTCCTTCAGTGCTCGTTCATTGCTCCAGATACCAGGCCATCTTTTTATACTGAGGTCATGTGACAAGATACGTCATTGATGTACTGCTTTTACTTTTTAACAGGTCACATTTTAGAAACAAGAATTTCATCAGAAACTCTGGCCCTAACTGTTCCAATTTTTTTACCCAGATAACTTTAGGAGTGTGGACCAAATGAGTTCATTTTCTCAAGGGGCAACGACATAAAACATGGTTTGTTAGCCATGTTAATTGCCTGTTAAATATACATTAGCTTGTATTAGATGTTAAATGTTAGTTACCATTATTACCAGCATACGTCCTTTTGTGAAATCATTATCAAAGTACTTGCACTCTTTAACAGATTCTTTATATGTGTAAAATTCATCAACTATTTAAAGAGGAGTGTTCATTGCATGCAGATAATCATATAATTTTTCTTCGACATGAGTTTGCCTCAGTAGATGAATAAAAATAACTACTGCAACTTGTTTCATTACATGAAAATGCTCTTTAATGTTAAAAAAACCCTTGTAATTTGATAGACTGATTTTGAAAATCAGTCACAGTTAGATCTGCAATCTTCAAAAGCACTTTCGATGGATTGATCACACAGATTCTGAAGGGAAGACACCTGTGCCATTTGTTCAAAGTGAAGCACTTGTTCTTCCCAACAAAACAGAAATCTTGTATTAATCTGTTTAGAAAAATCATATTGATGAAATTGTATTTCATGGTTGAGTTTCAGGAAAAAACTCATTGTACATTAACCATGCAGGAGTCATTTAAGTAACAAATTATTGTAATTGTACAAGACATGTAGAATTTTAAAACAATAAAGATTTGAAACTGTATGTGTTTGAAGTATTTGTGTGCCTTTTAAATCCTATCTATAGTATTTATTTCATGTCAATCTGTTGCAGCTTCTGTCTGATGCCTCCAGCCGTTTGGTTGGCTAGAAATATGTAAATTTTCTACAAGAGGCATTAATATTCAACAACATTCAGGAATTGCAAGAATTACCTTGTAACGATAAGAAAGAATTTCAGTACACAGAAATTAATTTTCTCAGCATATTGAATGGATAAATGACCCTTTTCAAAATAGTTATACTGGCTACATTTTTAAAATGTAGACTAATTTATTTTTTTAACAACAGTATAAAAAGTTGTACTGTAAATGTGTAGCCAATGGAAAGTGTAATTCTGTATTCAACTGTAAGCTTATGTCTAGAACTTAATCCATAGAGTTACTCAACTGTGATTTATCTTCAGAAGGTGTGGAGTGGAGGAGGAAAAGAGATAAAGAAATGATCACATGAAAATGTCAATGCTTCTACCCATATGTTGCAAATAACATTCCTCTAGACTACTCCAGTCCACTTGAATACCCAGAAACCTCTGTATATGTGTTTAAAATTTTGTTCCGTAACAATTTCAAGTTCAGATTTTTATGAAATGCATGGGCTTGTAACTGTATCACACCTTTGATGAAATAAATCTTAGACAGTTGATCTTTGGAAAACAGAATGTCATTTTGTCAAGTTGCATTCTTACCTGATTGTTAAATTTGCTGGTTGGTGTACTGATTTTTAAAAATCACTTATCAAAAAATGTGCCTTGTTCTTCAAGAACAATATCGCCATAGTTGAGTACTGCCCAGTGTCAAATATGTAAGCAGCATAGATTTGTAGAAGAGATGCAATATGTTTTTTTCATCACTGAATTTTTGACCTTCAGCTAAATGGGAATTCAGTTTTGTCTGCAGTTTGGTGCAGTCTTGTTCCTTTAGTCAACTGAGTCACAAGTGGTTTAAGAAGGTGCATGTGTAGCACGATTCATTCCTTCTAATATGCCAAGTGTTTAGAAACCTCAATATCTTTTACCCTGCTAACAAAAGTTTTGCAGCCTCAGATAATCTCCCTGCTACTGTGAATATTATTTGTCCTTCAGGGACTAATTATCTCCCAGAAGCCAGCAGGCTTTGCTAAAAGGCACAGAGTCCTTCCATTACTGGGAGGACAGTTACTGCTTGAGTAGCAGCAATGGATCTGTGGAGCAACATGCAATCCAGCAATACAACGTAAGATCTTGCTCTTCTGTTACTGAATAGTCTACTTCAAAGGTAAGTAAAAGATCCCCCAGAATTTTCTCCATGGAGGAAAGGATGTGTTTGTCAACCTCTTCCAAGTTGAATAAAACTGCAGATTTGATGATGGTCCTACAGGACCATGCACCTACAAGCAGCACTCCTTTTTGGGCATACAAAAATTAAAGTGTTTTTCTGATACTGCGATCTCATTAAGCACTAAGACCTGTGTGTCTTGCTACTCTGTGTGGATGATATACCATGAAGTTCATTGCAGGCTTTGGGGTAGTGTCCTGAGTGGAGGAGAGAGGTGAGTACATGTTGAGAATTAAAAAGAAAAAAAATAAAAAACACAAACCAAAAAACTCAAATTCTTTCATTTTTGTCTGTAAAAAGTCTGAGCTTTCTAGTCTCAGTTTATTGTTGCCCAGATTAAAAATATATATGTATTGACGCTTATATGTGGACAGTAGCAGTGATGATTTATGGTGCTATGAAAGTTGGCTTGATTTCTAGCTTAAGATAGACAAAGGCATGACTGGCATTTATATTACTCAGAAACACATGAGCAGTATATGAAAGTGAACTTCTGAAGCACCTAAATAAATTGATTAAAATAAAGTACTTTAATGCAAACTATGAGGGAAGAAAAAGTCCTTCCCTGCTGATATCTGCCACTTAAAAGAATACCAGGATGTATCTGTTATTGTTACATGACATCATATTTTTCTAATATAAATAACCAGCAATGGCTTTGGTTTTTAGGAATATTTGTCATATGTTTCATTTTATAATCTTTATGTATATTCAAAATGGAAATTCTGTCAAACAAACTCCTAACATACTCAGTAATGATTCTGAACAGTCATTGAAAAAAATGTAGTTTACATATTTTTTGTATGTCACAGCCTTACTATTTCTTGAAACTATGCTTGTTATGCACCACCTATGTGTTTCATCTTGCTCCATAATACAACTTTGTATGTAGCTATACAGTTTGAATGAGGAGCCTGTTCAGAAGGGATGAGGGGAAGGTTGGAGGATAAATTCAGTGATCTGAGATTTCTCTCATTCTTTTGTGCAGCTGCCTGTTGGAAACTTACTGGTTACTAAAAAAGCCTCTTCTGCTACTGCAAATATATGTTTATTCCATAAGTCTGGCTTGAGACAAAGGCAACTATGTTTTTGAAGTGCAAAAAGGAACGTGAATGGTAGAGAAAGTTGACTGAAAGCAAATGTTATCAACACAAAAAGTATGTGATAATTTTAAAGGGATTTCCCCCTCGCGCCCCGATGTTGGAAGGTTATATCCATTTGAATACTCGGAAAAGCACATGGGGTTTTGCACTGCTCTGCAGGAGGTCTTAATCAGGAGCTGGTGCTGTTTAGAATTCAGCTGTGGTTCATTTGAATCTTAAGGTGGCCTATGAGTAGGACCAGTTTACACTTAAATATGCGCTTTTTCCTAAATATAGTTGTCATTACATGTATTGCATAGCAGGACTGGAAAGTCTGCCCTCTCCTCTGCAAAATTATGTGCCTTTTTGCAGCGCTAATTTTTTCCATGACCTAATGTTGCATCCTTCCTTGTTTTGTGGAGTTTTAGCGAGAAGCCAGATGGGCTGTAAACAGTTATAGCAAAAATGGAATAGTACTTTGTAGTGCTTATTCATTCCTCTAAATTTTTCATTAATAAATTGTAATGCAGGGAATTATTTCTCAGTGCCAAATTAATAAATCTAGAAATGGAGCATTCACTATACATGAACTCTTGCTTTTGCAAGCTGCGTTTGCCTATTAAACTTCAGAGAGCGCTCTCAGTGCTGCATTTCAAGGTCACCGATGTCTTTAGATCATTTTACAAGCCATTCCGCAGTCCTAAAGCAGTGACAATAAATGATAAAGAATAAACAGTTACATCCTTTAACACTCACTCGCATTACCAACATCCACATAAAATAGCGAGGAGCATGGGACAGTCGAGTCCCCAGACTCCAAAGACTGGCCAAGAATTGAGTTTGACGTTGACACGCTCAAGCGGTGTCAGACTGGCAGAACGGTTGCGGTTGGAAGGGACCTCCCAAGGTTGTGGGGTCTGACCCCCTGCTCAGGCTGAATTGCTGTGACTTTTTTCACTAAAGGTCTGGAGTTCACAACTACTTTGGCAAGCGTTCGGTTTAGTCCTTTGTTTTGAAGACTGGGTTGAAATAGATGGTATCATTTGAGTAATTTTAAAATTTTCCCCTCAAATTCATTATCTTGGGTAAATGCTAGCTTTTAACATGCTTTCACTATAAAATGTGGGGGGGTTTATTTTAAATGCAAGAAATGTGACAGCTGCAAAATTATTATTTCTATGGCTACCGCCAGCAAACACACCAAACTTTTGTTCTGTCTATTAATTCCATTTCATAGTTGTGATAGGATATTTCATGTTGAATAGTTGTTCCATATTGTTGTCTCAATTCTTTGAAATTGATTTTGGGTGGCAGCCTCACTTCCCTTTCCCTAACTTTTGCCTGTTGGATTTAAAGTGCTTTTTACCTATTTGTATTGAGACTTTCTTAACAGGTGGTTTTCCACTGTGTATTTTACTTTTTAGGCAAAATTACTGAGTAAGGAGCAGATTTTTCTGCAGTGGGAGAAGAGCGTTGCTAGTATTTTATCTCCTAATCAAGAATTTGTACCGTTTGCCCAAGGGTGTTAATGGAGAAGCTTTGTCATCACACCCATGTAGATTAATAAATCTTGTTTCTGCCCCAAGTCTCTCTGTGAGATCTAATTATTCTAAACCTATGGATGTATGCTTATGTACGCACCTCTAACAAACACTGATACTTGCAGCCAAAGCTGCTATGTTTTAGTCCTGTTTACCTGTGCTGGGAGTATTAGAAGTCCAGATAATTCAGAAAGAAAGAAATGCCTCATTTTTTTCTTTTTTTTTTTTCTTTTTTTGGTGAAGATTAGCTGTAGGACTAGTACCTGTGTGTTGTATGACCGAAGCATTTCTGTTTTGTTAAGAGTTTAACATGAGCTTACCCATTCTATAGTCGTCGTAGGAAAAATACCAAGAAAGAACAAATAAAAGAGCCTAAAGATCCTGGATACTTAAGGAGAAGCAATCGGTTTTAAGCACCAATGCATATCCGAGCCTGTATTAATTTAAGCCATTGAAATGTTAGCACTTAATGTCTAACGCGATTGCAGCGGTAATCAGGAGACTGCCGAGCTGTGCCGCTTGCAGGGGGCTGGTCAGCGTTACTTGACTACCATGGTTGTTGGGAATAGTGTGGTGTGTTTTTAACACAATGGTTGAAACAGTAGAAAAAGTTTATGATGAATACTGAACTTGGCAAAGAAGTTCCTGATAATGTAGAAAACTGATGACTTTTAAACTTCAGAAGAAAGCTTTATTTTGTGTAACTACTCTCTACACTGAA